AACACGTGAGTTGTTCGTGCAACACATGAATTGTGTGTCTAGCGTATGGATACAGATCCATCCCATAGGGTCACCCTCTCATATTTCTCTTTTGATGATGTAACGTAGATATTGAGGAAAATTGATCAGTGGTTTGGTACGGATATGGAAAGGTTGGGAAAATCTGGCCAGTATTTGTTTGGATTTAGCATTTCATCTTTACTTGCAATCCATGGTTAATTACCTGATTTGGCTGCATATCTTCTCTATATACTAAACATTGATTGAACACCGTATTTGAGTAACTGTACACTTACACATAGATGTTTCTTCATGTGCTTTATGACCTGATTTCATTATTGTTCTATATTTGTTTAAATGATAAAACTATATAGGTTATCGCTAGTTTCATTTACAATTCTTGTTTTTTTACCTCACCGAGGCTAATTACGATACTTATTAAGTACATTGGGTCAAATATACTCATACTACACTTTGTACTTAATTGTGCATATCCAGGTATGAGGACAAGTTAACAACAGTAGGCTTGCTCGTTGTACTAAGTTCAAGAGGCGAGGTAGAGCTGCATCCTTGGTTGCAGTTTTGACTTGTATTTTCCTTACGTATTGTTGTTACAGTTTAGAAAGTGTTATTATTGTTCAATTTCAGACTTGTATTCCGTTATAGAGCTCATGACTTCGTATTTATCAATTTCTAAGGGATTTACCTTGTATTGGTATTAATTTATTGCATTGAGGTTTTAGACTTATGTTATTTCTGTAATTATTGTTGTTCTGGTTCTTTATCGTTATGTTCTGGATTTCCTAACTGGTGTATTAGGCGTCATCACGACAGGTTAGGATTGTGGGTCGTGACACTTGTAACACCCCATAAATTTGATTTAGTTGTGGATGCATTAAATGAGTATTAATGTGATGGTTATCAACTGGATATGATAATAAGTGTATGAGGCATATCATAAGTGATTTGGGATCCAAGAAGAGGCCTAAGTCTAAGTCAAGTTTGAAAATTTCATGATAGACTAAAATTCCAAATAACCACACACAAGACCAAACTTTGCACGAGCATATCTACATTTATATAAGGTGTCAAGTGATTCACAACCTATCAAATGAAAGATCTTGTAGTCTAGTTTCTAACACTTCAAACCGTTCGTCGTTTGGACACTCCTACCAGAAGTTATGACCAAATTACCAAAAGTTGGTAGAATTTTACACTACCGCGCCGCCCCATGCTGCGCGGCTGTGTAGATTTACAGAACACTTCCAAATTTCGTTTCTAGACACATTTTTCATTACCTGGTGCCCCATGCGCCGCGGCTGTGCAAATCTTGTTTTTTTTCAACCCGACCCTATTTTGATATAAGACCTTCGGGGGTTATTTTCCCCACTTCATTTGGACGAATTTTAGGGTTTTCCTCCACTCTCTCAAGACCTCCAACCCTCCTATCTTCAAGGTAAGAAATCCCCATTATCTTGGTGTGAATTCCATCATTTCTACACTAGTATTTATGAAATCTACACATAAAATACTTAGATCTTCAAGAGATTTCTTCAAGAACTCAAACGAGGGTTTTGCAAGATTTCTTCCAAAAGGTAATCCTACACCCTTAGACATACATGTATGGATTTACTAAGGGAATATGAGTATAAGTAAATATTGAAACTCTTGGTATGATGATTGGAAGCCATAAGTTCCCAATTTAATTACACAACAATTGTAGAGATTGAAAGATGATTATTTAGTGGAACTTTGTTGGTTGTGTGTGGATAGATGGTCATATATGTGATGCTGGAATTAAGTTATAAATTGATTAATCATGATGGTGGGATAAATTGTTGATGAATGGTGGTAGTTAGATGAACTAATTATATGGTGATGAGATGTAGAGATTTATGCCTTCAAGGTGGTTGATAATATGCCTAAATGACTTTAGTTATGGAATTTGTTGCTAATATTGGGTTCCATTTGATGTTGCTATTGTAGATTGAAGGTTCTTAGTATTGTGGATCATTATAGTATCACTAAGGGGCGAAATTGAGGTATGTGAGGCTAACTCTCTTTACGTTTGGGAATGTCTAAGATTCTCCCTACGTCCCATTCAATATGACTATTACTAGTTTCCTCAGAAAGTAATTATGCCTTAGTTCCATGAATAGTCGAAGAACTTCTATTTTCTAGCTTCGTAACTTATTCATGACTTTCATTCTAAACGTTGCGAAATCAGTGCATAATCAATATAGACTTGGGTTTGATGCCCATGAGTCTCAGTCTAGATTACTCAGCATGTCATAAACAGTTGAAGTTTCAGTTTTCATAATTAGTTCATGAATACATGTCTCAGTCTAGTTCTATTTATCATTCGAGTATCGTGTAACTCAATATGATTCATTATTTCAGTATCATGTATTGTAGTATGATTCTTAGTTCTTGATTTTAAATCCCTGAATGTTGAACCCCTGTATTTGGGCCTGAGCCTGCAGTTTATGCTTTATGCATCTTTGGGCCTTAGGCCACAGTTATGTATACGTATATTTGGGCCCGATGTTGCAGTTTGTGCACATATATATTGGGCCTGAGGCCGTAGTTTAATATTCAGATAAACAAGTTGTTCATCATTCAGAAGAGGGAGTATTCATATCCTTACTTCCTTTGTTCAGTTCAATTATTAGTTATCATTTCAGTTACCAATTATCAGTTCAGTTATCAATTATCAGCTATCAATTCAGTTATCAGTTATCAGTTATCAGTTATCATTTCAGTTTCAATAGTTATCATTTCAGTTATCAATTATCAATTCTCAGTTATCAGCTTAGTTTCAGTTTCAGCATTTATAATTCTTTCCTTCAGTTGCTTTACATACCAGTGCAATTCAAATGTACTGACGTCCCTTTTGCCCGGGGCCTGCATCTCACGATGCATGTAATGATTTACAGGTTGACGGTTCAGAGCGCTAGGATTCTAGTACCAACTATTTGGTGATCCCAGTTCTTTCGGGCCATTATCATTACCTTACAGCCTTCAGTATTTTCAGACAGTCAGTGTTTTCAGTACTTCATTAGAGGCTTCATAGACTAGAGTAATAGTTAGACAGAGTCGCAGGCTTTTCATATTAAGCTATTTTGGCTACAAATATATTTCAGAATTGTACTAGTATTTTCGCACTTTGATTTTTATCATTTAGACTTTCAGTATATCAACATGTGTTAGTTTATCTTCCGCATTTAGTCTGTTATGATATCACATGTTGATTCAGCCAGCTAGTTAGTTCGTTCGGTCACACGTAGTCAGGCACCGAGTGTCGTGTTACGTCCAGGCCCAGATTTGGGGCATGACAACACTTGTAGACTAGAGTTTGGTTGTATGTACAAGAATGGGTTGTAATCTGCTCGAGTTTAATGATTACATTCCCTCATCTTCTCTTCCTTTTAATCCCATGTATGAGCTCTTGAGCTACCAAAATTTTTTTGGTTATCAACCTTCCATGAACAAATCCTCCTGATTTTAGAGATAAGCTTCGGAAGGATAGAGGCTAATCTGGAGCTCATAATCGTAGACATGATCTTACTAGAATAATTACTTAGACTGATTGGCCTGAACTCACAAAAGCACGAAGGACTTTTCACCCTTGGAATTACAACTAAACAAGTGCTAGTGTAAAACTTAGAAAGTCCAGAGCCACTGAATAATTACTGTACCATATTAGCTAGGGCAAAATTTATAATTCCTGAGTAGCTTTAAAAGAATGCCCCTCCATATCCATCTGGCTGGGAGCACTGTTGGGATCCATGTAAAAAAATAGCTCTTTTAATTTTCTCTTCATCATGGATTGCTGTCAGAACATCATTATTTGCTTGAGTTACAATCTGGTTAATGCAGTGTAGGTGTTGAAGATGAGAAACTCCTAAAGAAAAAAGCGTCTCAAAGTAGTTAACTGCTTCCCCTGCTCCCCGTAATCCAATCCCCATTCTAATTCTTGATTCTGTATATAGTTAGTTTTATCCTCTTTACCTTTCACCTTGATAATGTCATGAAAAGTTTTCTTGTTAGAATCTTCCTCTTCATGTCATTTACGAGAGAGAGATATTTTCTATGACAAAGGGATCGATAACTTGGTATTCTCACCATAAAATTTAATGATCACAATGCATAGAGAATTTGTCACCAATCGCTGATTTTGATCAAGTGTGATGATTTTCTTTTGTTGCAACATAAATATCTCTTCATATATCTTAAGGCTTATCTTAATTTTCATATCGCCAAATTAAATTGTTTACCATGATAGTTTTGACTATGGAGATTTCATGGACGGTCTAAGTGATGAATTAAAAAGAAACTTGTATGAGAAGTGTTATGACTACAAAATAGAATTAAAGACATGACGCAAGTAGAACCGCAAAACCAGGTTCTACTTTCTCAACTTCATTATTATCTTTTATTGCTTTTTCTATATTACCTTTTATATAGTCCAACTTCTATAAATGATAGGATAGACGTTCCATTAAAGTGAGGATCATCTTCAAAATACGCTTCATACATATTTGTACCTTATTAAATTAAAATAAGTAAAAAAATTACATATATCTTATAAAAATTTGATTGTTCATTTTCGTAATCTCAGATGATATTGATCCATCTTGATAATTCGTAAAAGCTTATACTTTATTATTTTTTCATGTATACATCATTATCTAAAGTTTTATTTAATAATATTAATATTAATTTACAAAATATATATTATATAAATCAATAAACACGTACCGAGAGACTAATTTTTATTAAAATCTTTTTAAAAGAGAAACAAAATTTAAAAAGTAGCCCCAAGAAAGGGCTAGTTCAAGAAATGAGCAGGAGAAGAATTGCCTCCAAAACAAGGTGCATATGTTCAGTCAGCAAAATAGGAAGAGACATATACGGGCGACGTGTCAGCAAAACAATAAGAAAAGGTCTCCCCAGGGATGCTCCGTTAAAGTTGGCGTTTGTCTTTCTTCTTTGCTTGACTTTCGGTTTTTCGTTACCAAAAAGTCCTCCCAATGCGACGTCGTTGTCACTTCATTTACACACCAAAAAAAATAAGGCCAAATTGAATATTTTAAATTCAAAGCAAGTAAGAAAGTACGCATGTATTATTTCTCGTTCATCGCTGCAGGAAAAAAGTAATATCTTCATTTCGTTTAATATGGGTTTGAATGTGCTTGTCCTCAATGCAGGATAATTTGTGTTGTTGATAGCGAATGCGAACCTTATTCACGCCGAGACCATGACTAATCAAAATGCTGACGCTCCCCAGGTAATAATCATTTTTTCAGTATTTCATAATTGGAATTTTTATGGATATTATGATTCTTCTTTGATTTGGGTTAACACACATTTTTCTGTTTTCAGGTAGAAGTGGGTCGTCAGCCACCTGCACCACCTGGGGCGAATGATCAAGCACAGTTGCATTCTGGGAATAAGGTAACTCTGGTCTGTTTACAACTCTTAATACATTTCCACTCTGTGCTTAACAGTTCATATACTAGACAAGACTCTATTTTCTTGTTCTGGATTTTCTGGATCAAAGTGATTATAAGCATAATTAGTCCTTGCTACTCGTTCAGTGTTTGCGTAAAGCCTAGTCCATTTGATGGTAGCTCTCTTGCACAACAAAGAATGTAATGAGAGCAATCAGTGCATCTTCTAAGTTATTGTTCTGTCATTATGTCACGGGCATTACTTTTTATGAAAGAGATAATTTCTTTTATAAGTCTGTATCAATTAATCATAGGGAGAATTGCTGTTTTTCTATCGAGCCTAAATAGCTTTTACTTCACTTTATAATGTTCTTATTACTAATATTCAACCACTGGTAGAATTTATAGTTGATATACCTTGTATGGATGACAACAACGGGATTCGTTGGAACTTTTTTTTTTTTTTTGATGAAGTTAAATTTATTGAAATGAAATTTCTCTTGGCAGGTTTACAAGAGTGGCCCTCTATTTTTATCATCAAAAGGTCAGTCTTCCATCTTCTATGCTGAATTTTGGCATAAACTTAGGAAATGGTCTTGATCTCTCCTCTCTTCTTCTTGCGTCTAGCTTTTGCTTATGATTTAGAAGTCATATTCTTCATTTTCCTCTTGCTCTCTGATGCTAAAATGTTAAATGTTGTCTATATAGTTAAAATCTAAAACATATTATGGGGTTTGTCTCTTGGCATCCAATTGAGTTGGAGTTAGAATGCAAGGTGAAAGGGTGCTGTTGAGGGTTGTGGATAGTGGATAATTCCTATGTTTCAGCTCTATATCTGAAAGCTTCCGTAAGTATTCATATTTTTAAAAGACTAACACACTTTTATAGGATTTGAATACACATCTTTTTCTATAATTGGTTGATCTGGGCACTTTTCAAAGAGACCATATATTAAAAAAAGGGAAAAGGACCAAATAAACCCCCAGTACTATAAGAAAAGGTTTAAATTTATCCCTCGTTATACTTTGAGTCCAAATATACCTGTTGTTGTACTATTGGTTCAAAGTTTGTCCAAATTGGACATCCAATCATATGTGGCACTGACATTTGATGAGGTGGATGCTACATGGCTTGCCACCTCAGCGCCCCTAACCATTTTTTCCCTCCCTTCTATTTTTTTTCCACCACTAAAATTTTCTTCCCCTCCACCACTATTACCACTACCATGAAAAATATTGTATTTCAAATTTTTGTCTTTTATATATGGATTAAGGGCGCTGAAGTGGCATGCCATGTGGCAATAGTGTCACGTAAGATTGGATGTTCACCTTAGACAAACTCAACAGAAGAGGGGAACTTAACAGAAGAGGGGTATATTTGAACCAATAGTATCACAATAAGGGTACATTTAGATCCAAAATATAACGAAGGGTATATTTAAACATTTTCTCATAGTTCAGGGGTATATTTCGCCATTTGCAGTTAAAAAAATTAAGAAAAAAGATGGATTGAACCCAGTGCTGCAAACTAAATGGAGTCCGTAAAAATGGGGCAATAGATGAAGAAGGAAAATTTTGAGGGTTAATGATCTCTGTCTTAACTATATGGACTTCCTGAATTTGCTTGCTTTACAGCCTTCACTTTGTTTTATTGCTTGTGTGGTGCACGATCTACTCTTGGCTGCACAAATAACATGGTCTTGCTACCTTTTTATTTGACACAACCTACTATGGTGACCCATAATAATGCTTTCAGTCATGTTTCATCAACAAAAAGTGAAAAAATAAAAGAAAAAGAAACCATGATAAGTTCAGTTTCTGTTGTTCTTCCTTGAGAACCAAAAGAAAGCATCTTCCACAAGAAGGTCTTTGTATTTAAACCTCCCATGCCATGCTTGAAGTCTACCCTCTTGTAGTAATAGTTTTGAGTGATATATTTTTTGACAACAAGAAATGGTAGTGCCATATATATCATTTATTTTGATATATATTATTTTGATTTATCTACAGATACGTTCAGCGGTATATCATTTAATGCAGATTTCTCTTTTACTTTTGAGGATGGCGTCTCAGTTCTTTTCTCATTAGCTAAAATATCATTGTTATTTTATTTTTCTGCATGCTGTCTTATTAAATATCTTTGGACTATAAAACCTTTTTTTTCATTGTTTTAATATTTCCACTTTCCTTTTTTCTTTATTGACAAGCAAAGTATTTATATTTCATTAAGTTGTATTTCTAGATAGATAGCTGCTTTTGTGTTTCCTGTCTTATGCTTTCTTTTGTTCTATATGATTTAAAGTCTTGTATCACATTATCTCAAGTGAGTACTTTGTAATGTTTATGCTTAAAATATGTGTCACGAGGTTCGTGTGAATGTATATTTGATAATTAGGTTTATGTGAACATTGACAAATGTTCTATATTTTTATTAGAAAGCAAGAAAAGTAAGAGAGATTTTTCATTATCATAAAATTAGATGTTTCTGATTTCTTTTGCAATAGGAATTGGTTGGACATCATGGAAGAAGAGGTGGTTCACTCTAACAGAAAACTCGCTGGTCTTTTATAGAAGTGATCCAGTGAGTTTCCTCTCTTATAACTGTACCCATGATTGTTTGTTACTACTATGCTTCAGACTCTGTTGGTTACTAGCTTTATAAGGCATTGCCATTTGTAATCCATACCATAATTGTCTTAGTAAGCTTTCTGGATCACTTCTGTTATACCAATTCATTGTGGGAAGGAATCTGAATATGAACTCTTTATATATATATATATTACATGGGTTAATAGTTAGAAAATTATTAGTTTGGGGTTGTTTCCCTGTATGAAGCTATATAGAAGGTTCAAAAAGACAACAATATTCCAAAAAAATAATAAATAAAAACTAAAAAGGAAAAAAGGGACGAGTTACTGTAAGATAGTTCAGTTTCCCAACCAATCTCCTATATTTCTCTGGATCTTCGAATAACTCACCGTCTTCTTTTACGAGTTGTGTGTTAGGAACCATTGGCATGCTGCATAGTTTAGATCCCAACTTTCCAGTTTCAGCTAACAAGTCAAGAGTATATTTCCTTTGGGACAAGAAGATGCCTTTCTTGCTCCGTGTAACTTTAACTCCCAAAAAATACTTTAGTTGCCCTAAATCTTTCGTCTGAAATTGAGTGTGAAGGAAAGACTTTAGAGTTGAAATTCTTGTAATATCACTTCCAGTAATAACGATGTCATCAACATATACTACCAATAAAAGAATACCATCATCAGACTTTTTATAAAACACCGTATGATCGCAATTGCTTTTCTTCATCCCATATTCTAGAACAGCCTCACTAAATCTGCCAAACCAAGCACGGGGACTCTGTTTCAGCCCATAAAGAGATTTTCGAAGACGACATACCTTTCCACACTCCCCCTGAGCAACAAACCCAGGTGGTTGCTCCATATATACTTCTTCCTGAAGATCTCCATGTAGAAAAGCATTCTTTATATCAAGCTGATGCAGAGGCCAATCATAAGTAGCTGCCATGGAAATGAATAATCGAACAGAAGCTAACTTGGCGACCGGGGAAAAAGTATCCAAATAGTCGACTCCATAGGTCTGTGCATACCCTTTTGCAACAAGGCGTGCCTTAAGGCGAGCTACTGTCCCATCGGAGTTAAACTTAACAGCAAATACCCACTTGCACCCAATAGCCTTTTTGTTAGTGGGCAGATCGGCCAACTCCCAAGTACCCTTCTCATCTAAAGCCATCATCTCTTCTATCATTGCATCATGCCAACCTGGGTGGGACAATGCTTCACGAACAGTTTTAGGTATCCTAGCAGAATCTAGTGATTCAATAAACGAGCTAGAAGAAGTAGACAAATGGTCATAAGACACAAAAGAAGAAATAGGATAAGTANAAACCAGTTTTAGAGATAATAGGACATGGACCCCAAACATCGGTGTGAACTAACTCAAAAGGTAAGTCGACCTGTTTTTGGAAGGCGATGGTGTTTAGCAAACTGACATGACTCACAATCTAAAGAGGAAATACTCTGAACTGAGGATATAACTTCTTCAAACTAGACAAGGATGGATGACCCAATCGACAGTGTACATCAAAGGGAGACAACACAGTTGAACAAGAAATGGATTTCGGCACCTGTGATTCAAGAACATAGAGACCCCCAGACTCAGAACCTTTACCAATAATCTGCTTCGTCGTAAGATCCTGAAAAAGACAATAATTGGGAAAAAATAAGACACAACAATTTAGAGTACGAGTAAGTTTACGGACAGATATTAGATTGAAAGAAAAATCAGGCAAATTTAAGACGGAACTAAGGGAAAGAGAAGA